AGGCTCAAATGCTCAAGCCCTTGTGTCGTTGGGTTTACAAAGGTTGAGGCAAAGGAAGGGTCGTCACCCTGCACTACAGCGTTGCCGGGGACGACAGGGGCTGGACCACCATCTCCCAGCTCTCCGAAGTGTGACACCACATCGGAAACGCTGAGGGCCGAGTCGGGGTCGAGCGAGATGGGCGGGATCTCAAACTCCTCGTCGCCCAAACTGGGAGTGTGGAAAGTCTGCAGGAGGAAGATTATATTATAATATAAGGAATACCACCGGTTCAGTTCTAGCCTCATGGTAAATCACACACATTGGAAAGCTTTGGTCTGTACAGCTTTAAACCGTACTACAGATTTGTTTGGGGCTTTAATTATCTACAAGCAAATTTAGTCTAACTTCAAGTACTTGCCAAACTGCATATTGTGCCAAATTACCTGCAAAGCAATTATTTACAGCAGGCAATCAAGCACAGATAATTAGTGGTGTGACTTAGGGCTAGGCAATATGACTATATAATATATAATGTGTTGTCATATACGTCATGATAAATCATGACAACACATTTGTTTTATAATAATTAGAAATTCTGGCTGATTAGAAGTTAAAATTTTGTACAGATTGTCAAAATAAAGGTGTCATTAAAGTGTTCAAATGCAACACTATGGCTTTGTTAGCAAACCTATACATCATGATGTAGTAGAAATGTCATGTAATGTAGAAATGTCTTCACGTATCACACAATACAATATTTTTTGTATTTTATATATATATATATATAAAATATATATATATATATATATATATATATTCACTTTCAGCTACCTGAAAAGCCAAAGGGTCAGAGTGAACACTCTTCCGAGGTTTTTAAGACTGACATCACTAGGCTATCAATGCAGACATAAACAGCTGCCTGTATGTCAGTAAGCTACAAGTCCAGAGACAGAGACAGACCAGCGATCTAACGCAATTTGCAATCTTACTTAGAGCAAGAAACTCAATTCCAGTCACTCAGGGCTGGAGCTCAGCACAGTTTGGCAATTTTCTTAATTACAGACATTCACTAAACTTGTTAATTCCTGCATGAATTAAATCAGGGTTTGTATTAATCAAGAACATCATGCTATCATTATTCACAGCTCAATGTAGGACCCAGGAGTTACATCATCAAACTTATTCGTAGTGATGCACTGAAATGAAAAGTCCTGGTTGAAAACCTCCAGTAGTAATACTGAACTGTAAGCTGTAACTATTTCTGGTACACATGTATCTGAAAAGTGTCTACTAGGCACTGTGTAAGAGGCTCTGCATTCTCTACTGCCCTACATTCACACTAGCAAATCACTTATAGTGTGTGTCTTGTGGACGTGTAGCTACTCGTCTCTTATGGGTGTTTCTGAAAAATCACCAAAAATGTGCTGGACTCATTTCCTTCAGGACTAGAATTAATAGAGGTGAGTGCAAAAGCATCATCACATCATCAACATTTAAGGAACAGCTTTACCCCCCCCCAAAAAAAACAACACAACACTAGTACTGGTATTTGCAGTAGATTTAGTTCTTAACTCTAGTAATGGAGACCCAAAATGGCTACATCAAGATCTTGAACATGAGCTGAAGAACTCGACTGTGTGTTATACGTTGCAAATCTTAAATTGGTGCAAGTCAAAAAGCTAACGTTTACATGTAGCATAATAAATTCTGTTAATAATCAGACTGATTGCTCAATCTGAATAAAAAATGTTTACCTGAACAGTATAAAACGATTGAGGTCAATGTGATCGAGTGAGTTGGGCAATCTTTTTAATTATACATTAAAAAAAAAAAAAAACAGCCATGTAAACCTTTGTGTGTGATTTTTTTTATTACTATTGAAATCTGTGCGTACGTGTTCAGATCAGGATGTGCTCCTTGTGCAATAAAACGGTCCTGTCAGAAACCACAGCTCGTGTTACAGATTGAAATCTATTTAAAACAATCGTGAGGTTGGACGAGCAGCGGCGTTGGCGTCAAGCTACTATTTTGAGGCAGACGTGGGACACGAATTGACCTCAGTAAAGTCAGCTGTGCATTTCACAGGCTATTCGCCAGACGTTCAGCGAGGATGCAGCACATGTACTCGGGAAAACTTTAATAAAACCTTTATGTCTTGTGCAGTTGGCGGACAGTCACTTTTTTTAATGTTGTTAATAACAGAAGATAAATACCATGTGTATTTTATGTTATTTTCAACAAGTCGCACATGCCTGTTCCTGGATTTCCAGAAAACATGAAACTTTACTACGATCACAAACTCTTCTTTTCGCTGTTGTTCAATAATCACACACAATAAAAACACAAGCAGCGTTGGTTAAAAAGCTGAATGCGCTGACGGGATGGCTGAATGCCGTGTGTTTCTCGTTGTTATGGAAACGCTGAAACGAAACGTCACTCTATGCACGTGCGTAACTCGGTTCGAATTACATGAGACGCAGATTGTTTACAGAGTGTGCAGTTTAGGATACACGTAAATAGTTAAAACGGAACGAAATCATACGAATTGGCGCAAATCTTTGCAATTAAACATATGCTCTATGGAAAAAAAAAACAAACTAATAGTACTACCTTTCCGCGTCACTGGGGACCCCTCCTTATACCTTTGTATCTTTTACTGGAAATTTAGATACATTGTGCCTTTAAAATGACTTAAGGTACATAATTAGAGCATAATCTGTAGTTTTTAGAGTGAAGCTTTACATAATAAAGGTATAAAAGGTACCCTTGAGAGCTTAGTACCTTTCTGAGAGTGTAGAAAAAAAAAAAGAAGTGTACCCAGTGAGTCTCCGTAACTAGAAGCAATTTCAAACAAACACTTTTTGAATTCTGGCTTTAAGATTAGGTCTAAAGTGTGGACAATGTGAACAATGACATGGACAGAAAGAAAGAAAAAAACGCTCTGTACGCAAAGCACCTCGGCATCCTGGATTTGAAGGGAGTATGTGGAGTGGAGCGGTACCTCGGAGGAGGACAAGAAAGGATGGCCCTCTCCACTGATGGGCAAAAAGTTGTCGCTTCCTCCGGGAAACTGAAAAAGAATCCAAAGCAAATTATTCAAATTGAGAAAGACATTAAAAGAAAAAAAAATCCACTGTGAATGACTAGCATATTAATCTTTATAATTAACATCTTTAATAGCGTCCAAGGTTTACTTTGTAATGAAATTCTGACTTATTTTCACTTCGGTTAACGGTTTCCTACATTACCCACGATGCCATTCGGACACCTTCTGATAGCTGCGCCAGGGGAATTTAGCTCTTGCTTCATCGCTGCCTAAATACAGTGATGCAGCAGCACTTTAGTTCTTTAGTCTGTCCAGCTTTCACACCTCGTCACCTGTACGCTCGGCTCAAACAGAGCTCCAAAGCTACGTTTTCATTTTAATACCACCGTCAACGCCATCACGCTCGTCATCTCAAAGATCACTAACTAGCCAAGCGTTTGCTGGACTCAAAGTCTGCACTATTTCTACTGGGTTTCTCATTTATTCCACCTTGAATGTCGCTGAAAAGTGGTGACTGAGAACGCTTGAACTTTTGTTTTTAGGAGTCAAGGGCAAAAACCCTGGACGTCATGAAAATCTCCACTGTAACTGCACTAACAATAACAATGCCCTATCTGAATCTCCTGTTTTTACAGGTGACTTTATTTCTGTCCGGATTGGCCATGTCGGCATTTTTCCTCCGTCCTCCTCTGAGAAAAATCACAGGCGGAATTATCGACTCAGCACTTGTCTGATCATTTTAGATCGGATACACGTCTGTGATTTTCTATTCAGATGTCGGCTTGAGTTGGGGAAAAAAATGTTTGACTGCTTGCAGTATTTAATCTTGCAGTGCATGTATCAGTGACCGTCCCCGGATATTAAACACTTCCTGAGTCATGAAACGAAAAACGGATGCTTCTCGTACACTTTGGGTGCGTCTCAATCAGCTCCCTAGTTCAGTAGTCAGGACGCTGACCAGGGAGTTGGAGTTTTAAGGTCTGTCTCGATCGCAAAATCCTTCCAGTGCACTGGAACTTTTGCACTGCAAAAACCAGGGAGCATCGATGCTTAGTATATTCCCTTACTGGAAATGACATCATATTTCCTGAAGTCTCTCAGCTTCAAAAAAATGGCAGACGAACTCTCAGCCAACTTCGTCTACCAATGTAAGTGGCTTGTTATCATTGTTGTAGCTCTCAAATTACTTACGTTAGCAATTTAACTTTATTTGATGTTCTACGTACATATATGGTTTGTTTGAGTCTAACGACTTTTAAGAGTTTAGTCATTTAAAAAAAACCACTAGCTAGCCTACAATCCTGTTGAAGTACAATGACAAACGTGTGTGATTAAGCTTAACAAAATTTATATGCCATAGAATGTCAGAAAGATATCGGTCCTGCCTGTTGTTGATAAATGTCAGTGGTGACGTTTCACAACGCGAGTCACCGGAAACTGAGTCATCAGTGTCCTAGTGTGGAGTGTGTCAGGTGTTTTACCAGCATCTGAACTCGTGTACATGATATACTGATTCACGGCCTATGGAGCTGATTGAGACGCACCCTTTGTGATTACTGTATTTTCAAACTCTTGCTGGAACTTTGGTTCACCCCAGACTGAATTAAGATCCGGCATCTCGTCTCTACTCCAGTGCCTTTTCCACTGCTTGGACACCCTGTTGTTGAACAGAGCGTGATTATATAACACCACGTGATGCAAACATCCAGGTTCATAGAAAATACAACCTGCTAGAACCTCGCGCCACGCTCCCATGTGGTCGTTTTATTGCCGTCTGGGCGTGGAAAAATAATTACAGATTCCCCACTGATGATCCATCACTAATCCAATCCGAACAGGGCTAATGTCCCGCTGTGACGTCAGAGTGGCACACAGTCTCTAACTTCTCCCAGGAATAATGAAAATACAGCGAGACCAGAATCACTGAACACATCAGAAATATTACAGTATAAACATATGTGAGGTGTTTGGATAACTGGAGGACTAGTGGTTAGGCCACAGCGTGCTCATCGCTGGGGCCCGGGTTCAATTCCTAGCCAGGGGACTGACCCCAGCCACTGGGGTTGTATGCAACAGTGTGCTCTCAGTGCCGGTCCCAAGCCTGGATAAAATTGGGGAGAGTTGCGTCAGGAAGGGCATCCGGCATAAAAGCTGTGCTAGTTCAAATACACGGACGAATGAACCACTGTGGCGACCCCTAACAGGAACAGCCGAAAGACGAACAACAACAACAACAAACACGTGTAAGGTGTTTCAGTGTGAAGGTTTCCTTTAACTAGAGTAACTCGAGCAGGCTTTAGGAGCGAGTCCAGGAACGAGGCAGTGGTAGCTCAGTGGTTAAGACATTGGACTACTGATTGGAAGGTCATGAGATCGAACCCCAGCACCGCCGTGCTGCCACTGCCGGACCCTTGAGCAAGACCCTTAACCCTCAACTGTATAAACGACATCAATGCAAGTCGCTCTGGATAAGAGCATCTGCCAGATACCGTAAATGTAAATGGAAAGGTTAGAACTCATTATTAAACTCTACAGATTACATTTTTACACGTTGCACACAATCTCTAAAGACAAGGTTGTTATTATTAATATTTAAGGATTACAGTGATCACCTTTTGCACTGTATCAAATCCGTTAAAGGCTTGTGCGTCCAGGAACTCGGGATCTCCTGGCTGTCCGGTCCCATCCGTCAGATCCGAGTAAAAATTCAGATCCATTTTAGGACTAGTGTGAGCATGCGCAATAAAAAAAAACACAATAAATGAATGAAATTTGACCCGCAGTGTGACGCCGATCGAGTGGCAGAAATCCTCTGAGCGCGTTTCCGAGTGGACTGGAAGGCCTCGGATGGATCCAGTGACCCCCAGCTTTACTCCAGTGCCAGAAATAACCCGGGTTAAATCCACTGCTCTCTCTCTCACACTCGGCTCGCGCCGTCCCGCATGACTGACGCACACTGCGGTGCGTGACACACAGCCGCCGAGACAACTTCGCGCCTCGTGAACAGATGCAAAACAAATTTAAAAAGATGAAACCGCAGACATTTGTGTTTAAAAGACAGCGGCAGAGTCCTGCGCGCAGCTAAGGCGTGCTAGCTAGCAGGTTAGCTCACTGCTAAAGTAGATACCATTTGAATGACAGCCACATGGGGGGAAAAAAACACGGCTAAGACACCGGTTATAGCAAAATTCCACATTTCACACTGCGTCCGATATCAAGTACACCACCACGTCGATTCCTGACACATTAAAATAAACCGAAGCGAATTCAAATCGACATAAAATCCAAATAAAAACTGGCCGATACCGTTGATCACATCAAACGGTTTTTTTTTCTTTGCTCTACGTGCGCCACAGGCTTCTCAATCGAGCCCGAGCTACGGATTCTCCGACCTCAGGATGGAGGCGCAGCAAGGGGGAGTACTGATGCTCGTAATATCTCACGCGTGTTCAGTAAACCATTGAACTCGATAAACTTGATAGCAAATCATGTAACACTGATGTCTTAATTCGATTATAAAAGTGATACGCAGTAAACATCAAGACAAAATAGGAATCGCGTTTTCAGGAATAAGACGCTCCCCCCACTATCGAGCAGTGGAACAGTCCGAACGCAGAACCGGCACTGAAGGAGTCGACTCCGACTCCGAGTTTCGGCAATCGATTGATTCTTGATTCCAAAACCCAGCAAGATAATCTTATAGAATAAATAGTGCAATATTAAGTACACACTACTATGATTGTATTAATATGAAAGGATCTTGGCATGACAAATATGTTGCTGTCAGCTTGACTAGTCCTATTATATGAACTTGGACCACAAATATTTTATTTAATAAACTAGTTCGAACCCCTATGAACCAAGGTGATAAACAGCAAACTAATACACACTAAAACAAATTCAGATCTCTGATTAAATAGCAGGCAAATAACAGCGACTCCGGATTCTCCCAGTTGATTCTGCATCGTTTGAATTACAATCGACTCTTTGGCTTAAGAGTCGACTCTCGATTCCCAAAACTATGGAGTCTGAGAATCGACTCTTTTCTCTATCACTCTGAAACACGAGTGGATGGATATTTTTCATTTAGAGCTGCTTAAAAAATTCACTAGCCCTGATTATCCATTTGATAAATATAAATATACAATCTGACCAGGTGAAAAGTTCTCCAGCTGAAGTGATTCGTATCACGTTTGAATGACAGAAGAAAGTGAAGGAAGTCCTGGTTTAAGTCTTCGATCTTGGTTTAAATTCTGTATTAAAGTCTCTACATGTCTACACAGACTCCTACTGTCAGGTTTAATAACTAATGCTCGTCCCTAGATTCAAAATAAATCCAAAGAACCGTTTCAGATGATCACGAATCATTTCAGATGATCACGAATCATTTCAGATGATCATGAATCACTTCAGATGATTAATCCATCTTTGTAGTTTTGCTGCTTTTCTACTCACTTCTCCAAGTTTTCAACTATTTTCCTCAAAACTTTTCTCTTAATGTTTACAACAATCAAATCAAAGCAAAGCTCCAGTAAACATTTCTAATATGAAGCCTGATATTTACACCCCAGAGCAGTGAATCAAACACACCACAGGTCACAGCTCTTCCATGGAGTATGCTTTAGTAAACACTAGACCCAGTCTAACACAGAGCTGTGTTCAACACCAACACAAGTGTGAGATCTGAGTGATGATGGTGAAGTAGCTAGCTCTGTCTTTAAGTGCCTAACTCGAGTTTATCAGCTTCAGCAGCAGAAATACTGAAGTGTGTACTGATCTGAAGTGAGACTGCTGACCAAGCGAGGTAAATATTCCCAAATAATGGAAAGGAAAGTAGTTTTCTGTAAGCAGATGATAGCTAGCTAGCTAGCTCGCTCTCCATAAAGCCATTCGTTTGTGACTAGCTGCTAGAGGAAGCTAGCTAAGAACAAGGAAGTAAGTTGATGGGGAGCGCTCGGGCTTCTTGGTGGCTTTTTTAACTCCTTGTTTAATGGACAATTCGAGGAGCAAAGTGTGAATTAACATGTCAGGGGTGGACGAGGGAGCAGACAGATGAGATATTGACATTGAGTAACTCTCGGCTTCTCTTCTTACCTCCATACTCGCCCTGAAAACGACACGGTTTCTGACTTGGAACTCCGACCAAAGCGACTCTCACAGCTTAAAAAATACTCTCACAACATGGCAACCGGCTTCCGGGTTAAAAGCGGATGTGACGTAACCCACCGCCGCGGTGCTGCTACTGTTGTTGTTGTTGTTGTTGTTGTTGTTGTTGTTGTTGTTTTTCTACCTGCGTTCACTGGGAATTTTATTATTATTATTATTATTATTATTATTATTATTATTAATGCCAAAAATAACTTACATGAAATTGTATCAACAAGTACAGAACACCAAAAATAAATTAAAATAAATAAATAAATAAATAAATAAAAAACAAAAGCCAGAGAAATATTTATGAGGTTATACACTGAGTGTAATTTTTGACATTTCAAAGCTTTTTTTTTTTTTTTCTGCCCATCATAGACATAACATAAAAATTATAGTCTACAAAAAAAATTAATGTAGAGGATTCTTGCATATAAAATTGCATTTATGTATAAAAAATACCAAGAATTTTAAACAAATGAACAATGTACTGAATCCAGTGAACTGTCTGTGTTGTAATACAGAAAAATAATATTGAAAGTGTTTATAGTGTTCATGCATCTATCCATCTTCCATCCACACAATGCCTCCTGAGATGGGAGATTAAATGCGTATGTGTGTATATATATATATATATATATATATATATATATATATATATATATATATATATATATATATATATATATATATATATATATATATATATA